CTGCTGCTCTGTGCACGGGCTGCTTTTAGCCACTGCCGCTGATGATCTTGACGACATACCTTTGGCCGCCTCCCCACAACACTGCGCTCCGTCTCAGTCTCTCTTTGGTGCAGGAAATGAGAAAAACACGTCAGATTTTCGGAGCCTGGTGTGACAGAAGGGGAGTGCGACGCAATCTCGGGAGGTGTTCAAGAGCAGCAGGGCCGGGGAGAGGAGACGGGGGACGGCAGGGTGGGTGAGTGCACAACTGGAGAGCGTTGATAAATAACACGCTTTAGACTCCACCGAGGTGTCCTTGAGCAAGGCTCCTCTTAACCAACCCAGGTGGAACATAAAGAAGTCTATGCAAGGCTACTCAGTGGTGCAGCACCCATATGTGCACGTGAAACTGGAAATGCAGGGAAACAGGTGCGCAGTGCCTCTACGTCCGGCTGATATCAACATCCATCCAATCATTAGTCAGTTACCGACTTCATAAAGATGACTACATGCCCTCTTCCCCACTGGCCACATGACTGTGTTGTGTACAACACTGCAGAGACTCTGACTGTAGCAGCTAAAGCTTTATTGCTTAAAATATGCACACCTAAGTATTTTAACAACATCAAATTTTGTGTCAGTGTTTGCCTGCATCTGTGACAGATGTAGGTTATTACAATAACTTTGTACTCACTGCAGAGACGATGACTGAGGAGCATGAGCATCACCTAGAGCTTGAACTGACTTTACCAAGATTAGGCTACTTATCCTTACTACATTTAAAGTGTTCTTTTATCACTTATTTATTAACGTGCCCTCCACATTTGGCCATTTTCCACTGAATACAATTTAACATCTAATGAATGTCTCCATTTCCTGATTTGGCTTTAAAACCTTTCATATATACATGATCACAGAACGCACAACCAGATTTGGGGTTTCTGCAGATTTCCTGGACCCCATCATGTTGTCAACACACTGCGACTGACTCTATCTTAAAAACTCTAAATTTAAGTTTGAAGAAATCTAACAACTGAAGCTAAACCATCTTAACAATCTTTCTTCAACAAGTCTGTTTAAGGCATTTGTCAAATAATTAATAATGAAGACAGTGTTAACGCAGTGTAGATGCAAGCATGAGTGAGATGTTGAAACGTACCTCACACTGTCAGACAGATTCTCCTGTGAATGAGATGTTACCTCACAATATTCAGTAGCTACTGTACAACTGAATGTATTTAAAACCTGGACACTGCCGACCCCTCCTGGTACATTTTTTAAACAACAAGCCCAAAACAAATCTTGTGGCCACTGAAAGAAGATGAACAAAAACAAAACAAAATGGAACATGTGGAACCCAAAACTAGACACACTAATGATTCGACACTTTAAGATTTTAAAAATGTGTTTGCAGATGCTTGAGTCTCTCTGACAAGAGGACGACCAATAGCACTCTGATCGTCACAGCTGTAGCTATGGCCACGCCAGGACGGTGGCATCTCTGTGTCTGCAGGAGGTTCTCAACCGGAGGCAGCGGAAACCACAAGCCAAGTAATGTTCCCAAATAACTAGAGGCGTAGTTACCATTTACTTTACTGATCAAACAACACAGCCTTTCTTAATTCTGTCTTTTTTGGCTTGTGAGTCCTTTGTCACCCCAACAACAACCCAAAAAAGTTGGATATGTTGTGACAAGTTCAAAACTTCAACCAAAGGGAGGATTTTTTCATGCTCTATTCAAATCATTTTAAAAGGCTACAAACATCACTTTTTGTACTTCTGTTTTATATTTTGTTATTAAAATTCTAAAAAAAATTTAAATCAGGCAGTGGCAGGGCCTTTCCTTATCGGGGAATCGTTTGGAACGGCCTTCCAAATATTTTTTAAGCAAATAATCTTTATTCCTTGACATATGGTTAGTATGAAACATCGTGTTTTATTGATTATTGTTTTAGTTTTGCTTGTTTTTATTCTTTTTATTGTATTCTTTATGTATATTTTTTATAAAGTGTGTTGGGTCAGTGAGAATGCACTTTAGATAAACTGGTTGATTGATACTGAAGCCTCACAGATCACGGTTAACCTCTTGTTTACATGTCCTAACATACAGCTATTTTATGTAAAGTAATAAACCCTTCTTGGCTTCCCCCCTCTCCCTGCAAATCAGTTTTGTTATTTTTATGTCCTTTGTTTTGTGTCAACTCAAACAACCTCAAGTCGACAAGAAAAGCAGACAGAAAAGGACCATTTATTGAAATGTATCTTATCTGAGCTTTCAGATGCATGTCATGGTCTCTGACAGTGGATGCAGTTTGCTCAGATGAGATGCTGAAAAAAGCTGGAGCTCCAACAGTATCGGTTTGTGTCAGTTGCACTAGCAGCTATTAAACAGCAGAGGGCACCAAACATCAGTCAAAATGAAGCTCTTTTTATAATCTTTTCCCAAGCTTCATTTAATTTTCCTGTCTCTCACCTCTCCACTGACTCTGTCCATGCACTTAGTCTGCGTCTCTGTGTGGTGTTTTATCATGGCTGCAATGCCATATGATATGCATTCATGCTTTATGGCACATCTTTAAACACCACACAGCTGGAAATGGACGGCATTTATGTGAGCACAGATAAAAGATGATGAGCAACAAACCAATGACATTGCTTGTACCTGCTCTGTATTCTGCCTCAAAATCCTTATCCATCCGTGCCCCTCCAGTGCAGTTCGTTATTCTGCTGTTTAATTCTAAACAAACTGTTTTAAAAATCAATATTAGCTTTTCTCTCGTCTTTTTCCATTTTCCTCACAGTGGGTTCTTTGCCTACCCCAATCAATATTCCTACGGTGGCCCTTTGGGGGGTTTGAAAATGAT